TGGGTATGACAGCATGTACTGGTTGGTATGTACCTGGGTATGACAGCATGTACTGGTTGGTATGTACCTGGGTATGACAGCATGTACTGGTTGGTATGTACCTGGGTATGACAGCATGTACTGGTTGGTATGTACCTGGGTATGACAGCATGTACTGGTTGGTATGTACCTGGGTATGACAGCATGTACTGGTTGGTATGTACCTGGGTATGACAGCATGTACTGGTTGGTATGTACCTGGGTATGACAGCATGTACTGGTTGGTATGTACCTGGGTATGACAGCATGTACTGGTTGGTATGTACCTGGGTATGACAGCATGTACTGGTTGGTATGTACCTGGGTATGACAGCATGTACTGGTTGGTATGTACCTGGGTATGACAGCATGTACTGGTTGGTATGTACCTGGGTATGACAGCATGTACTGGTTGGTATGTACCTGGGTATGACAGCATGTACTGGTTGGTATGTACCTGGGTATGACAGCATGTACTGGTTGGTATGTACCTGGGTATGACAGCATGTACTGGTTGGTATGTACCTGGGTATGACAGCATGTACTGGTTGGTATGTACCTGGGTATGACAGCATGTACTGGTTGGTATGTACCTGGGTATGACAGCATGTACTGGTTGGTATGTACCTGGGTATGACAGCATGTACTGGTTGGTATGTACCTGGGTATGACAGCATGTACTGGTTGGTATGTACCTGGGTATGACAGCATGTACTGGTTGGTATGTACCTGGGTATGACAGCATGTACTGGTTGGTATGTACCTGGGTATGACAGCATGTACTGGTTGGTATGTACCTGGGTATGACAGCATGTACTGGTTGGTATGTACCTGGGTATGACAGCATGTACTGGTTGGTATGTACCTGGGTATGACAGCATGTACTGGTTGGTATGTACCTGGGTATGACAGCATGTACTGGTTGGTATGTACCTGGGTATGACAGCATGTACTGGTTGGTATGTACCTGGGTATGACAGCATGTACTGGTTGGTATGTACCTGGGTATGACAGCATGTACTGGTTGGTATGTACCTGGGTATGACAGCATGTACTGGTTGGTATGTACCTGGGTATGACAGCATGTACTGGTTGGTATGTACCTGGGTATGACAGCATGTACTGGTTGGTATGTACCTGGGTATGACAGCATGTACTGGTTGGTATGTACCTGGGTATGACAGCATGTACTGGTTGGTATGTACCTGGGTATGACAGCATGTACTGGTTGGTATGTACCTGGGTATGACAGCATGTACTGGTTGGTATGTACCTGGGTATGACAGCATGTACTGGTTGGTATGTACCTGGGTATGACAGCATGTACTGGTTGGTATGTACCTGGGTATGACAGCATGTACTGGTTGGTATGTACCTGGGTATGACAGCATGTACTGGTTGGTATGTACCTGGGTATGACAGCATGTACTGGTTGGTATGTACCTGGGTATGACAGCATGTACTGGTTGGTATGTACCTGGGTATGACAGCATGTACTGGTTGGTATGTACCTGGGTATGACAGCATGTACTGGTTGGTATGTACCTGGGTATGACAGCATGTACTGGTTGGTATGTACCTGGGTATGACAGCATGTACTGGTTGGTATGTACCTGGGTATGACAGCATGTACTGGTTGGTATGTACCTGGGTATGACAGCATGTACTGGTTGGTATGTACCTGGGTATGACAGCATGTACTGGTTGGTATGTACCTGGGTATGACAGCATGTACTGGTTGGTATGTACCTGGGTATGACAGCATGTACTGGTTGGTATGTACCTGGGTATGACAGCATGTACTGGTTGGTATGTACCTGGGTATGACAGCATGTACTGGTTGGTATGTACCTGGGTATGACAGCATGTACTGGTTGGTATGTACCTGGGTATGACAGCATGTACTGGTTGGTATGTACCTGGGTATGACAGCATGTACTGGTTGGTATGTACCTGGGTATGACAGCATGTACTGGTTGGTATGTACCTGGGTATGACAGCATGTACTGGTTGGTATGTACCTGGGTATGACAGCATGTACTGGTTGGTATGTACCTGGGTATGACAGCATGTACTGGTTGGTATGTACCTGGGTATGACAGCATGTACTGGTTGGTATGTACCTGGGTATGACAGCATGTACTGGTTGGTATGTACCTGGGTATGACAGCATGTACTGGTTGGTATGTACCTGGGTATGACAGCATGTACTGGTTGGTATGTACCTGGGTATGACAGCATGTACTGGTTGGTATGTACCTGGGTATGACAGCATGTACTGGTTGGTATGTACCTGGGTATGACAGCATGTACTGGTTGGTATGTACCTGGGTATGACAGCATGTACTGGTTGGTATGTACCTGGGTATGACAGCATGTACTGGTTGGTATGTACCTGGGTATGACAGCATGTACTGGTTGGTATGTACCTGGGTATGACAGCATGTACTGGTTGGTATGTACCTGGGTATGACAGCATGTACTGGTTGGTATGTACCTGGGTATGACAGCATGTACTGGTTGGTATGTACCTGGGTATGACAGCATGTACTGGTTGGTATGTACCTGGGTATGACAGCATGTACTGGTTGGTATGTACCTGGGTATGACAGCATGTACTGGTTGGTATGTACCTGGGTATGACAGCATGTACTGGTTGGTATGTACCTGGGTATGACAGCATGTACTGGTTGGTATGTACCTGGGTATGACAGCATGTACTGGTTGGTATGTACCTGGGTATGACAGCATGTACTGGTTGGTATGTACCTGGGTATGACAGCATGTACTGGTTGGTATGTACCTGGGTATGACAGCATGTACTGGTTGGTATGTACCTGGGTATGACAGCATGTACTGGTTGGTATGTACCTGGGTATGACAGCATGTACTGGTTGGTATGTACCTGGGTATGACAGCATGTACTGGTTGGTATGTACCTGGGTATGACAGCATGTACTGGTTGGTATGTACCTGGGTATGACAGCATGTACTGGTTGGTATGTACCTGGGTATGACAGCATGTACTGGTTGGTATGTACCTGGGTATGACAGCATGTACTGGTTGGTATGTACCTGGGTATGACAGCATGTACTGGTTGGTATGTACCTGGGTATGACAGAGTCTTGACCAATAGATGATCCAGATAGCTTATGACATGCCTCATATAAGAGACTGACACTGTCTATCTGGTTTCATTTTTTTTTTTTAACGTCCTATTAACAGCTAAGGTCATTTAAGGACGTACCTCCATGTAATGTATACTTGTGTGTATGTGTGCTGGAGCCAGGGTATGTTGATGTCTATCCGTATGACCAATGGACGATCTAGATGCCTTATACCCGGTAACACCCCCACTTAAAAGAGACCTATTTCTTTGGTTGTCCGATACACTTCATTTAAATAATTCTGATTGACATTCAACAACTTTGCTTTTGTTTACATTTTTTGGCAATACTTTCCACATTATGGTAAATAATCTGTGTTACATACTAGTGTTACTCCAGTCAGCTAAAAAAAACCTCATCTTCCAACACGGCTCATAAATAACCTTTAACAATGAACTTTAAACCAACGTCTCCTGACTTGGAGCACTAACGTGTAAAACTCATTAAAAAAGAAGACCAGATTCAACAAAAATCAAACAAACAGTAATCTGCTGACAAGTTGAGCGTACAAACAGAAATCTGCTGACAAGTTGAGCGTACTCCAGGAAACCTTGGCTAATCTACACACTCTTTCCAAGTAAGTGCTGTATAGAGCATTTATTACACAGTATCCCACAGTTTTTGACAGCTATCCACCTTGAACAAATTTTGCATATTTTTTCAGGGTCATGACTAAAACAAGAATAAAATGTCTGTGAACAGAGGCGCTATTTTTGCCATATACAGTACCTGTATCCATGTTATACCTACATCCAAAACAAACAAAACAAACTTAGGTGTATCCAAAAGGTAGCATTCATTAGAGTCAGACGCTAATGATCCGAAGATAACATTGATGTCAGATATAGTTAGTATCAAGTAAGAGTGTAAAGCTATAACACTGTGCAAACCAGACTGCTAGCACTAGACTATGACCTTTGCGGAAATAAAAGCAACAAATAACTGCAAACATTAAGGTGCCTTTGATGGCTCTGTTTACATCCACCTGTATAACATCAGTAATGTTTAACAGTTGTATTTATGTAAGCTATATATTCATGCATAAAAATATGAGATGAGTTCAATTATATAGCTGTTGATTTTCTTTTGCAAGTTCTATTTTTTTGCGAATCAAGTCTTTGGAAGAAAAATTTGCGAAAATAAGTATACACGACATGAAGTCATACAGAGTAAGCATGCTCTTAGGTTACTTGTCAGGCATTCACAGAGAAATCATTCTGTCACTCAGACCCTTTATACAACTCCCATTTTCTCAAAACACTATGTTCATTTAAAAATATATACATAAGAATTCAGGATTGAGCTTTTCAACAAAGGTGAATTCACACTTAGCATTTCTGAATACTGATTTGTCCAATTAACAAAAGACTGTAGTATCATCAACAAAATGCACAATGATTTTTAGATTTGAACGGACGAAAATTTATCCCAGGAAAGGAAGGAAATATTTCACACTGCATCCTTGAAACTCCTCACTCATAAGCTAATTAGGTACACGCTAGTCACATGGTCAAACCATTCCTACAAATGTGACGTATACACACAGCTTAAACCTTGTTTTTAACATCTGAAGTTCTGCATCACATTTACACGATTATATTGACTTTATGTAGAAAATCAAGGCTCCATTAGCATACTCTGTCTGAGCTAGCATGTTGACCCTTCATCACAATCTAAGGGAGATAACTATGAATTACCCTGGTACAATAATACACACTCCTGCATAGATGCACTTGTACCTGTATAGTTCAAATATTTGATTAAAGATGAACTTGTCCATTATAAATGTTCCAATGAAAGGTCAACATACTTGGTCAGACTACCTGCACTATATTATTCCTCATGTCCACATATAGTATACACGTTATCAAGAGATGGACTGGTCAATCAGAGTAAATTCCACTTCTCACATTTTATAATTCGATGGTGGATGCAATGATTATTTTTGTGTGATAAATGTAACACTTTTAAATAGAACACATGAACACAACTGAAATCTCATCAAGAGTCAAAAGTTCCTGGATCACACATGTAGAGTTATGTCCCTTGCATGTCCAAGTTAAAGCTCATTTCATTATAGCTAGTCTTTCTTTTCTGGATTGCAAGGGAACACAGTAAGTACAAAAAGAGTAAATCCCCTTGTTGATTTTTTTCCAAGTATCTTTTTGCCAGGCCTTAAAATGTCGATGCCAGGACAGTGCAATATCACACTGTATAAATAACAGCTGCTGTTGTTGTCTGCGACTGGTGTCCTTGTTTACTGGTATAACTGGACAAACCGGCATCAGACTGGTGAAGCCATGATGTCCAGTATTAGACATCTACACACTCGGGACTAGGGAGTGGACTGGACAACATGAAGTTGGCCGCACGCTGGACGTCCCAGTCACAGGTCATCAGCGCCTCCTTACAGAAGTTGACATCGCCGAGCTGTGCACTGAGCAGCTGTTTAAGTTTCACGTACTTGATGGCACGCTGGACGTCCCACTTTGTCTCTTCTAGGGCAACCATACAGTCCTGGACCGTCACCTGTCAACACGTAAGTGGTTACATTTCTAAGAAATACGTCTTCAACTTTCATTGCTACAATGTATATCATTGTCAATCATTGACAATTTGCACTTTTCTGTCAGGTTTATACCAAGCAATGAAGAGTGCATATCAGTTAATATTTGATGATTAAGACTCCTTTGTGTACTGGGTATATTAAATTCCAGTACATATGAATTGTATTACCAGTGGCAAGTCCATCCTATTCAATTCCTGAAGTCCATTCTATAAAATGACGATAACTTACCTCATTCCCAAATGAAATGCTTACACAATGGTGTCACAGATAGAGTAAAATTGATAGCTTACCTCATTACCAAACACTTTCTGCATGGTGTCTATTTCCTCGCAATTCTTCTCCCTGTAGTAAAGGAAGCAGAGCGGGTCTATGTTACAAACATCCACGTATCTACAGTGACAGACTACCAAGCTGGTTGGTTCTACTTCTAGCTTCAATAGTGAAGGTTAATTTGGTGAACTATATATATAAAGAGAATGTGATATCACATGAAACATGGACAACACTACAAATGACAGCACTATTCCTACAGTGATAAGAGTAGAACACTGATTATAGATCATTATTGATTCTCTAAAACATTAGGAAATTAACCCTATAACCTCTCCAAACTTAACAATTTACCCGTGAAAATTTGTATCAATATGCTATTAACATTAAGTTTTATAAATTAAATATAGTTTCACAGTCTAAATAGGAATTAATTAAACTACTGATCTAGAATTAGAACCAACTACCTGGGTATATAAACAGCATCTATCAAATATTTTGTTAATTTAAATAATTAGGGTGAAAAAAATATTGAAGTTTGTAAGCCTATACAGCAGATACCAATTGAAACAGAAATCTGAAGGTGATAATTAAATGAACTATCATCATCATTTCAAAAAATGCCATGTCTAAGAGGCAAAACCTTCAGGAGCAAATCTAAATATTCAATGATGTGTAACTAATTAAATAAGTGTGTCACATAACAGATCAGTGTGTTACCTAACAGAACAGTGTGTTACCCAACAGATCAGTGTGTTACCTAACAGACAGGTGGGTTACCCAACAGATCAGTGTGTTACCTTACAGATAGGTGAGTTACTTAACAGATCAGTATGTTACCTAACAGATCAGTATAATACCTAACAGATCGGTGTGTTACCTAACAGAACAGTATAATACCTAACAGAACAGTGTGTTACCTAAAAGACCAGTGGGTTTCCTAACAGAACAGTGTGTTACCTAACAGACCAGTGTTACCTAACAGATCATTGTGTTACCTAACAGGTAGATGTGTTTCCTAACAGATCAGTGTGTTACCTAACAGATCAGTGTGTTACCTAACAGATAGGTGTGTTACCTAACAGAACAGTGTTACCTAACAGATAGGTGTGTTTCCTAACAGAACAGTGTGTTACCTAACAGATCAGTGTGTTACCTAACAGAACATTGTGTTACCTAACAGAACAGTGTGTTACCTAACAGAACAGTGTGTTACCTAACAGAATAGTGTGTTACCCAACATATCAGTGTGTTACCTAACAGATCAGTGTGTTACCTAACAGAACAGTGTGTTACCTAACAGATCAGTGTGTTACCTAACAGAACAGTATGTTACCTAACAGATCAGTGTGTTACCTAACAGATCAGTGTGTTACCTAACAGAACAGTGTGTTACCCAACAGATCAGTGTGTTACCTAACAGATAGGTGGGTTACCCAACAGATCAGTGTGTTACCCAACGGATCAGTGTGTTACCTTACAGATAGGTGAGTTACTTAATAGAACAGTATGTTACCTAACAGATCAGTGTGTTACCTAACAGATCAGTATAATACCTAACAGATCGGTGTGTTACCTAACAGAACAGTGTGTTACCTAACAGATCAGTATAATACCTAACAGATCAGTGTGTTACCTAAAAGACCAGTGGGTTTCCTAACAGAACAGTGTGTTACCTAACAGACCAGTGTTACCTAACAGAACAGTGTGTTACCTAACAGATCAGTGTGTTACCTAACAATTCAGTGTGTTACTTAACAGACCAGTAAAGGACCCAGGTATATACAATTATATGTACATTTATAAATCGACCTCGATGTGGAACAGTTTTAACAATAGCTGACGATCATACTTTTAGACTTTCCTCAATGACAATTTATTTTTTTAATAGGAATTAAGACTATCTATTTTTGGGAGTTTTAGTTTTAAAATAGTTTCGACAGGTAGTAATACTTCAAATATGTTGATTTCAATTTAGATAACATTTAGGAATCCAGCCCAACAGTGATTGTAAACCTCTCCTGACGGATTATACATTGTACAAATAATCAAATGCACACAAGAACAAAATTTCTTCATCATGGAAAATGTTGGACATTACTAGGTCTACAAATCTTTTATTACTTTATGCTTAGTATTCCCTGGTATAGTAAGTGATAACTTCAACATCTGGATAAGTCCTCCAAGGACAAAGATATCTAACCGCCACTTGGCCCATGTTTCAAAACTAATGTTAACTCAATGAATCCATTTTCAAATTTATGCTTTCGGACAAACATTTTTTATCTCTGTTATCTTCAAGTGATGTGTTTTACCATATATAAACACCTTTTTTAGTGTGAATACTGACAATTTCATGCAGCCAATCTGGCTACCAGGATCTTTGTCACAGTCATTACAACATTTTTATGCATTAATTGAGATGTGCGCGGGAACCAAAGAAGCAGCAAAGCTCTCTGCAATGTAGAGCAGCAATATTACAAGGCTACCACTCAGTGTAAAGATACAAATTAAGTAGGCAAGCAAACTTGTAAGCAGTGTAAATACATCTGTTTATGACTGTTAGTAAACCCTCCAACCTCTCCACTGGTGTAGATAGGCAAGTTAGTCTACCCATTATAGTGATAGGGAAGCACACCTAATACATATGTAAATAGGCAAGCAAATATACCAACTAGTAAAAGTAGCCAATTAATGTTACCCACAAACAAAGGTAGGTTGGCAAACCCATCACCTAGTGTAAAAGGGCAACCAAATCCACTAACAAGTGTAAAGTAAGCAAACAAATCTACCATCAATTAAAAGAAGCTGAGCAAATTAACCAACAGGTATAAAGACAATTGAGTAAACCTACCCACAAGTCCATCAAGTAAGCACACCAACTGACATAGTAATTAAGCAGTGGACCTAAGCACAGGGGAAATTGGACAAACAAACTTACCAACAAGTGAAGTAGGCAAGTGAACCTCCCAAGAAATAAAAGTAATACCTACCAACAGGTCTAAAAATGAAAACCTGCCCAAAAGCAAAGGTAGGCAAGCATACCAAATGACAGGTGTAAGAGCAAGTGGGTTAGTGAACCTACCCATAATAGCAAAAGACAAGCAGGTGTCCAGAAGTTAACCTACCCCAAATTAAATATGAGCAAGCAAATACATCAAAAACATAAGTAACAAAGTTAAACTTATATACAAATATAATAGGCAAACATACCTTCCCACAAGAAAAAGCAGGCAGGTAAACCTATCAACAACTGTCAGTATGGCAACAAAATATATATACACATGTATGAGGATAAGTAAGAAAACATACTGAAGTCCACAAGAAAGCTGTTCATTAATGAAAGTAGACTATCAAATCCAAGCACAGGTGTAAAAAGGCTGCCCAACCCTGCCCAATATAGTAATAGGCAAGCAAATCTATCCACAAGTGTAAGCAGGCAAGTATTCTTATATGCTTACCCACAAGTGTATATAGGCAAGTATGCTTACCTACAAGTGTAAGCAGGCAAATATGCTTACCCGCAAGTGTAAGCAGGCAAGTATGCTTACCCACAAGTGTACACATGCGAGTATGCTTACCCACAAGTGTACACAGGCAAGTATGCTTACCCACAAGTGTACACAGGCAAGTATGCTTATCCACAAGTGTAAATAAGCAGGCAAGTATGCTTACCCACAAGTGTACACAGGCAAGTATGCTTACCCACAAGTATACACAGGCAAGTATGCTTATCCACGAGTGTAAATAAGCAGGCAAGTATGCTTACCTACAAGTGTAAGCAGGCAAGTATGCTTACCCACAAGTGTAAGCAGGCAAGTATGCTTACCCACAAGTGAACACATGCAAGTATGCTTACCTACAAGTGTAAGCAGGCAAGTATGCTTACCCACAAGTGTAAGCAGGCAAGTATGCTTACCCACAAGTGAACACATGCAAGTATGCTTACCTACAAGTGTAAGCAGGCAAGTATGCTTACCCACAAGTGTAAGCAGGCAAAATAATTTACTTGCTAGAAAAGGAAAGTCAATCTGCTCATGTGAGAGAGCAAAGAAGTCTACTGACAAATGAGGTGAGCAATCAAACCCACGCAACTGATGTTAAAAGGCACACAACTGTACCCATGATTGTAAATAGAAAAGCAAAGTCATCCACAAGTAGCGTTAACGAGCAAATTTACTGGCAAATGTAAAAAGACAAGCAAGCTGATGACTACTCCCTGGTGTAAAAAAGCATACAACCAACTTGGCAATATGCAAGCAAACCTACCCACTTGCCTAAGCAGAACATCAAACCATTGAAAATTGACAGCATTATAAGCAATTTTGTCCATGCACCGTATTAGTGCTGTGAATTTTATAACTGATTAGAAAGCTGAAGTGTGAAACATCATAGTGCCGTGCAAACAGCATCATATAATTATACCCACAGCAATAATAGCAGGATATGTATGAAACCATCTGGATATTATCTTAGATCAGAGTTATGTGCATAGTATGATAAGAAGTGGTGATTAATTCCAGCACCGTGTTAAGTCTCTAGGACATAACTTTTCTTATAGGGTAGCCTTATATCTAAAGCATTAAATTCAATACTTTACAATATGGATATATACAAATGATTTCCTCGTACCCATGAACAGGTCAAATCATAGACATTATAATTACTCACATATCATCCTTATTTTAGTTGGTGATGTATTATGATTTGTCATTTGGAAAGTAAACTTAAAGACCGTTGGATTATCATGTCATAATAATAGTACATGAAACACTATGTCAATATGTTTCTATAAACGAGTACGAGAATTTCTTTTATGACAATATCTACTACAAACCCCACAACAAAAAACATCGTCTGGGTGGTATGTTATGTTAGTGGTGGTTGCATGCATATAGAAGACCTGTGGCTCGGTCCGCCCCAACTCGCGACTAGAGCATCTACTAGTCTACCCTGAGTCAGGGGTAGAGTATCTAATAGTTTGCTCGTACTCAGGGCTGGAGCATCTACTAGTCTACCCTGATCAGTCAGGGGTAGAGTATCTAATAATTTGCTCGGACTCAGGGCTAGAG